ATTTTTAATAACAGCGCCACCTAAGAGTTCAAACCAAATCAAAGTGGTAGTTTCAGAAAATGTGTCCGATTTTAGGCATCAATTCATTACTGAAGACATTTTAGCTGTTTTGTATGAAGTTTATTTCACTAATTTTTGATGAGATTAATGTAAAACATATATGGAAAAAGTTTTCAGTGGATTTTATTTTCACATTCATTTCTTCAGCAAAAATAAATTCTCTAAGTGGAAGTCAAGTAATTTACAAAACATGCCGCTACATCATTAAATAATTTTTATACATCAAAAACAATAGGATTAACCATTCCGTGAAAACTTGCATCTGCATTCATTCATTCTAAAGTAATAAAATATGTCACGATCATTGACACTATTTACAGCTGAGAATTATTCGGACAGCCAGTTAGCAATATATCTTGAAACTTTGCAAAACACTTGGGTCTTTTCCAATCTAGACTTGATGGCACCGTTGTATTGCCACACCCACAATTGGAATCCTTCCATTATCTTGCAAGACACGGGTAAAACAGTGTTTTCAAAACAACACGCGTTGGTTACCATATATTAACAGGTTATATGTTGTATGTGCATTCAAAGTGTTATTTTAAATTGTTATACCCATCTGAATCTACCTGACATAGCGCAATTTACAAAACAACTCCCGAGTGTTGAGTAACCCCATGTATTAATGAACTAGTCGTTGACGGGAAGGCTCAAAGTAAAGTTTTTAGCGGGACGCGCTGCAGTTTCGCGACAGTTGTTTTTACATTACTGGTGCATTATGTATCAAATTCAGAAACTATACCGAGGTGGGAGAGTACGTCAAGGATACACATACGGAATACTTGATTATAACGGTTTGATGGACTTCGTCAAATCAAAAGTGCCTTCCATGATCGAATCACTTTTTCAACTGCAGTTTGAAAATGATGGGCTATAACAACCGTTATTATGTCTAGTCCATTTTTGTAACAGGTCATTGATGTCATGTTTGAATTCTTTCCTTTGTTTACATTGAACCCAGAAGCATGCAATGGAAATAGAATACTGTAACTGAACACAATCTTCATAAATCACAAACCGTTTTTCATTACGGCTGGGCGTTCATCTATCATTGAACTATTACTTAAAACAGGAAAAAGATGTACCAATTACAGTGTTATCACAAGAATAGCACTAGGTATGAAATTCTGTAAAACACTTCTCAGCCATTTCTTTCCGTTTGAAATCAAATATGCTAGTTTTCACTAGAGAGGTCTTGTATCTTCTACCAAAGGAGGTTGCTTGGTGTTTATATAACCTCTAATTATTATATAGTACCAGGGGTCATAAATAAGAGTTATTGCCATGAATTAACATGGGTCTTGAACTATTCTAAAACATACAGTTAACCAGAGGTGCAATGTTAGTGTAGGTGTGTTATAGTGGTGAGGGTGTTGGGCAGTAAACTAAAACTAGCAAACTAGTAAGAAGTGCATCAACAATATTTTATTGCTGCATGTATTCACAACTGAGAGCATTACTGCAGCTCATTATACAATCACAGATAATTACAGAATGTACAAATAAAAACCAGTCCACTCAAAGTACCACAGTGACGAAAGATCATTCGAATACGAGTTTCTTTTATTATTTTTTCATGAGGCATGCTTGGTTAGAAGTGCAAGTGACTATGAAATTATGTAAAATCATATTTTAACACAACAACATGTAGTGGTAAACCAAAGCGATCACCAAGATGGGAGTTTTTTTCTTTATAACAAAGAAAGAATGTTTGGTAACAACACAGGGTTTTAATCAGAGATGTTTGACTGTAGTGAAACCACACAAGGTTCTAACCCTGTTGATGTTATTGTGTTAAACAATTTATGTCAGTGTAGCAAACAAGTTGAAGTGCAGCAAAAAAAGCCTGACATGTACAGTGAGCTTACTGTCTTGCCAGCGATTCAACAGATAACAAGACTATATTATTTTTAAAGCTAAATATATAAAATCAGGCACAGCATTCACACAATTAATAAAAGTTCATAGAGGTGGTCAAAGACTAGTGATCCAAAATTCGCAGGTTGCCAGACACAATCTTATTTTCCAGCAAAGCACCTGGAGGTATGTCAATTCGGTCCCCATGATTAGCGATGATGATAACGGTACCCTAGAAGATAGCAAGATAAATACATTTGTTAGTAATATAGATTTATGTATTTGTTTATAACTAAGTTTACCACTGCTAAATTATGTTGCCAGAAACAGTGACTGAATGTCATGTCATGTATTTCAGTTTGACTAATTTAATAAGCTAGCATACCTTGAGAACAACTCCTTTGCCAAATGTCACATCTCCAGACACTGTCAAATGATCCAACTCAATCAAGTTTGGAATGCTCCCAAATCTCTTCAGAAATATGTTCACCTGCAACATGAATGGTTTGAGATAAATTAGCTGAATAATCGTTGAATTAAATAAATGCAGCTTTATGTACAGTCAGGTGAACAAATCCAATAATAAAGGGTTGCTGTTGTTTTATACAGCGTGTATAAATTTAGCGTAAGCAATGTATCATTTGGAATCCATATCAAAGTTGACAAAGTGCCCTTTAGTTCAAACTTAATCTTCATTACACACTACTACCCATCTTCCAACATTTGTGAGCAGCCACTGTTGTACCCCACACGTAAAAAAAAGCACTTAGTGGCATTCCTGAAAGCCACTTTCAACTAGCTGCAAGAGCCTGCATTATGCATGAAATTGAACGTAAAAAGATAGCATCATTCATAGTGGTGTCAAAGCACGGGATTCAACAAACATGAAAGCATTCCAGGTTACCGGGGTATTTCTATGCCTCGTAATGTTTTATACACGTTTGATAATCGGCAATTTTGAATAGTCCTCTCTAAAAGATCAAAATCAAATCATTTGATTTTTGCATGCAATATGCAAGATCCCACAGTGAACTTGATAGAAAGTCACCCCTTGAAGGTAATTAGACTTGAAATGAACGACAGGATGAGGGTTGTTGCGATAAACATGTTTAATGTAGATCCCATGCGACATACACAATGTTTTTATACACCAAATTATTTTAAACCACTGCCATTTAACTGAAGAGAAAATACCACCATTTTACACAACTGACCTTATCAAAGTGTGTGCCAAGTTTTACAAGTGGCGTTGTTTTAAATTGTCGATGTGGATTCATTTTCAGTGAACCTGCTTTCATGGTGTATAAATTGGACATGACAAGTAATAAATCTGATGTCTTCTTCACTGGCAAGAACCGACTCCTGGGCACGTTGATACCTACAGAGGAAATTCAGAAATCACAAAATGGCACATCGGTGGGATTGGGATGAAGCAAATTCCTAATTACATTTTATAATATTTTTGATAATTTGAGTTTAAGAATCAAAATTGGAATTATGTACAAATTACGACATTTAGTTTGAAAAAGGCATTATACACTTACAAAAAATAATATCTTTGTACAAATTACGGACGAATAAAATAGCTGATTACATTCTACACCTTGTCCATGTCTACAAATTTACATTTTTTATTTATTTAAATTACATTATTACGAAAATAAAAACAAGTTGATTACAGTTTATGAAAATACCCCTTTGCAGACCCTCTGTGTATAGTTAAGAAATTACAAGATTTGGGAAAGGTAAAGGACGCAAATTGGTAATGTAAAAACCGTGAATGATTTGCAAGACATGTAGGTAAGTGCACATGGAGTTTACGATGAACAAATAGCAGCTCAACTGCAAGTAACAAATGTTATAACAACATTCTCCCTTGACACAACAAGAGTTCAGTTACCATAAACTTGATAAATGAGCATAAAAAATGAAGCAATCTTATATTTATTTTATTTTATAGGTGAGCGATATCAATCGGATGTGTACCGAATGAGAGAAATTTAACACTCTCGTTATTAACACTTTTCATAAAAGGGACAAGCTGCGTAGGAGCAATATAATCTCCATTGTTTATGTTGTACTTGCGCGCAGTGTCTTTCTGTTTTACATTGAAATATAAATCCGGTAATCAATTTTATCTGGAAATTGAAACATGCAGAGTAAACTCACCATGGGCTTCAAAATTCTTGATTGCAGCACCAACAGCTGTCTCTAATTGGATAACATTTAATCCATTATCCAGTGTCTGTGGGACAAACAGCACTATTAGAACGCCCTTCTTTCACATGTACAATATTTGTTGATTAAAATTAAAACATTATTAATTAAAAGGATATGGACTTTTTAACACAGAACTCTACATAATATTTCTACACTACCTTGTTATTAACAATGACTTCCATGTCAAGTGACTTGTTATCCAAATTTCTCTTAATGGCTGCCAACTTTATCCAAATATTGTTAGTGTTGAATACCCTGTAAATAACAGTAAGTGAATGAATGAATGTAAGAACAAATGAATTAAATGTATATATACTGTTGTACAGATGTAAGGGCAAGAAAAAAAGAACAAATCAATTCGTTTTCCTAAATCGATGACACTGATTTTTTTCATTTTAAAAATATAACATGTTCCTTGTGCAAGTGCATATTTTTTTTATTTTTATTTTTTTTATATTCTGCAAAAAACCTAAAATCCTTGCTGTGACATGCACATCTCAATTTTAACAGGCACGCACAATGATTGAAAAAACAAATTTATAGCGGTGATAAAAGTGTGTATAATTTTCTGAGTGACTTGTATCAGATTTGTTAAATGGGTGTATCCCCCCCCCCCCCTAGTAATTTTTATGTGTCTGGCCTTTGTTGAAGGTCGGGAAAATTAGTAACAGCGAAATTTGCATGTAACTTTGAAACAAAAAAAATCTCAAAGCATGTGCAAGGACCATTCAAATTGCAGGTAAAGTGCACGTGTCAAAACAAAATAGATGATTTTGGTGAAAATAAATAAAGTAATTCATTTTCACATCGCTAATTATTGATACACTGACTATTGTCATATATTCTAATGGTGAATAGATTTCTTACCTGAATTTACTGACTGATTTGAATTCATCCACCTGACAAGAAAATATGTAGATACAAGTATTTAATAAACAACACATGTGTAATACACAACAACAGAATATTAAGTTTGGTGAGCAGATAATAATGTTTTAACAACTTACATGTTCCTTGGGAACTTGGGCAATTTCCAACAGACGGAGTTTATCCTCATAATGAATCAACGTACCTCCCTATTTTGCACAAAAAATAAAAAAAATAGATAAACAATTCGAAGAAAACTCACTATTTTAACAATGGTTTTGAGAGATTGCAAGGGAATATTTCTGTTTTTCTGGCATTTTCGGCAAATGTATATCATGATTTCACCTGGGTATATATAATTTTACTCCACTCACCTTCACATCAGCTCTGGTTTTATCTGTGACTTCCATCACAAACTCACTTCCGGTGCCATTTGGAGGATTCACCAGGAAATTTAGAATTTCTAAAGTTTGAGTGTTAAGGAAAAGTTAGCGCTGAGAGAATGAAAACATTTCATGTAATCATTTCAAATTAGAAAACATTCTCATTAAAAAAAAATATCAGTAAATCATACATTTAATAAAAAATTACCTCTAAGCACATAAAACAATACTATTTAACAACATATGATATGATTGGCAACTATGTTTTCTCACAAAAGTAAAAATAAGTAGGACAAAAAAATGTATTTCTTTATGGGCAGGTTTTTTAGGAAAGAGTTATAAATAATTCACAATATTTTTGTTCAGTTATTTTACAAGCATTAAACAAAAAAAAGTCAGAAAACCACCATAGCAAATAATCATCAGCTGTTGACATGTATACTGAATAAATGAATTAATAAATAAATACCAGTAAGACATGGTTTAAGTATTAAACTTCATTCATAAATAATCAATGAACAAATTTAATCTACAATAAACAAGAAATCTGTATACTACTGGTAATTCTTTTTTTTTCTGTCATACTGTAGTAATTGTAATCTCTTAGCAGCTGCTGCGGGTATTAATTGCCATAGAATCAGTTATTTTTGGTCATGCCAGCATTCTGATGCGATACATGGAATATATATTTACTGATTTGTAGTGGGTTATATGCACACACAAAATTCATTGGATTTGATCTTTGCTGATTTATTCTTCTGATAGAAAAAAATAAACAATAAAGTGAAGATAAAGTAGTTTGAAGAATGAAAAGGGCATGTAATTGATACATACTGACAAGTATGACGTACATATGAAGCATATAAATTCACTGTGACGTAGAATGATTGACAATTTCATTAATAAAAAAAAACATAACAGCCTGGCTTTTGATATCAAATTAAATAATAAAGGATTTCCTCCTAAATTAATCAACAAATATCAGTTTTTATCTGATTATACAGTTCAATAAACCCAAGTAAAAACTGTGGTTAATAGTTACAGTCACTTACTGCTTCTTAGTATGAGCTAGGTCAAAAACGTTAGCTAAGAGAACATGCACAAATGCTCTATAAAGGCTAAGAAATGGCAAGTACAAGCTAAATCTGAACCGTTTTTAAGGATGCACAGTTAATTCACATTCGTCCCAGGACACTTTCGTCCCATTGCCTTTGTTCAGCCTTATGACCTTGTGCAAGGTGATGTCGATTCCTATGTTGGTATGCAGGAAGTCATAATTTTTTTATGTACAGTACATACATGTATGTGTGTGTGTGCTAGGCCTTAGCCATGATATTTTTTAAACAAACGAGAAGGAATAATGTCGCCTGCATGTGCGACTTTCTTCATGGATTGGTAACAAGACAATCAATCTGGATGCATATTGAATTACAATCGGGAAGCCCAATATGTCCTTACAACAATATTTACTGTATTTCCAGATATTCATAAATAAGCAATTTTTACCATGTTTTACTGTGTACAATTTTTGGCACATTAATTAATTATACCATAATCTTGTTTTTAAGACCCCACCTAAATTCTTAGCATGGGTCATTGTATACAATGTTAATTTGGATTTACTATTATACATGTACTCATAACTCTTCATTCCAGTATGCTATTTCTGACATGACAATCAACAGGAGCACATCCATTATTCTTGAGAAAAACAATGGACTGATGATGATACTCTGTACTACTTCACGTTCTGAATTTGCATTGTTATTGTTTTATAACCATGGAACTAAAAAACATGTATACCTCCCTGTTTACTGTACTAAGCTAAATGAATTGAAGATTTGTGTATTCTTAAAAGTTTGGGTGTTCCTTAGTGCTGACTGCTGGTCACTCCCACTCAAATGGGTATACCCGATATTCGAACATATGTGATTAGCTTAAATCTTAGCCTGTACTTGTAGCCTGAACATGATTAATAACACAATTGCATGGTCATTTGCTTCACTTCGCAAAAGGATACTGTTATCAACTGTAGCTCCAAGGTTGTCAATATTTGAAATAAAAACAAATTCCTTTCCTTGTCTTATAAAGGCATCTAACAAACCAGAATTATTGAAAGATTCATAAATATCGCCGTGACCTGGTGGATACCAACTGTGAAAGAAGAGAAATGACAATGGTTGCATATTACGTACGTGTATATAAATTGAACAGACTCATTCAACTGTATGTTATATTGTTAGTACATATGTATTGAGAATACAAAACTGAAATACACAAACAAAGTGCACAATTGTATAGCACAGAATCTGGTGTCAATTTGGTTTGTGTGTACCGGTAAGTTAATAACTATTCACAATATTATGTTTGTTATATAATAATCAAAGCTTTGCTTACTGAGAAAAAAAAATTAAACAAAATTATAAAAGTTATTCATTGACAGAAACATTTGCCAAATAATACCAACATTTTTTAATAATATTTTATTTGAATCACATTAAAACTGTAATCAAGCTAATGCATGTCAGATTAGTCAAAAATGACAAGTGAACATATGTACCCGGTGAAATGACAAACTAACACCATATGGTTAGAGCTTCTGAATGATGAACTGACAGATAAGTCCAAACTCAGAATGATGAACTGACAGACACAAGCCACAACTCAGAATGATAAACTGACAGACACAAGCCACAACTCAGAATGATGAACTGACAGACACAAGCCACAATTCAGAATGATGAACTGACAGACACAAGCCACAACTCAGAATGATAAACTGACAGACACAAGCCACAACTCAGAATGATGAACTGACAGACACATTAAACTCAGAACGATGAGCAGACATACAAGTACAAACTGAGAATGACAAGTCAACAGTTACAGTTCTAACTAAAACACATTATGTTGCAAAGTTACTTACGCTTCCAAGTCATCAGAACTGACTGATTTCGCAATGGGCAATAGTGAGTCTTTATTGATCCTTGGATATCTGTAATACAATGAAAACAATATCAATTCTGGATGAGGGCAATTTATTCTATAATCAAAACATTTATCAGTATGCAATTGTTACTACATAAAACCCAGAACCACATCATCCCTCAACTATTTACTAAACATTATCACAAGAGGAATCCACCATCAACCCCTCCACCCGACCCCCCATCTCGCTATGTTTCATTTTATTTAAACCATGTTCATCCTTGTTAAAATTTTTCATCAAAATTATGCATTAATAATTATGTTTTATTTTGTAAAATAAAAGAAAAGATGATTTTGATGTGAAGAGGGTTAGGAGTGACACTAATTACAATTCATTTTTCCTATCCAAACCACAAGCACAAGCAAAGTGGGCGGGGCACAAATAAATACTATTACTGTGAAATGACAAATTTCACTGGGTTTTAATTTCACTGATTTATCATTTCAGGCATATTCAGTGGGTTTTAAAGTCACTGTGTTTTATCATTTAGATAATGTGTTCTATGCTAAATTTTACATATTCACTGGGTTTTAATTTAGCGAATTTTCTAGTCAGCAAAATAAGTACAATTGAAACCTAGTGAATAATTAATCCTTTTACTAGGATATTACAGTGAGGCACGTACCGGATGTTATATTACAGCTGTTGTTGACCTTACATTACAGACAATACTAGATACATGTAATAAACATCCGTTGATAGGCAAGTTTTTTTTTTAAATTATGCAAATGGTTACAGCTGTGCCTGCAATTCTGATTCTATCAATAGAGGGCACTGATAGTTTGTCAAGGTCAGTCCCATTTTAACAGATTTTTCTGTTAAAACAGTAAAACCTGAACCCTTTTGTAAACTGAATAGATCATTGCAGACTGAATTTAATTTTACATCACAACATTAATACATTACAACGAATAGTCTAACTGTGGGCATTTCAGCAGCATTTATTGAATTATTTACAGTCCACTTACTTGCTCTGATTAAACGTTGATATCTGCACTTGACAAGAATCATATTTTCTGAGAACTTTATTAGTATCCTCGTCCGTGTTAAATGAGTTCATCAAAACTAGTGGTACATCTGAACCATACTTCTTGTTGAGATGCTAATACAGAGACAAAATTTAGTAAAACAATGATATTCTTGTGCTACAAGGAGCAAGCCCCAAGACTGTATAGGTCACAACTGAGAGACGGCCGTCTGACACAGTTGATTGCGTTCGACTACTCACATGTTCGACTTCCGGCAGAGTGACTGTACATTCCATGTTTAATTTAGACATCGGGGAAATTAAAATAAAAAAAAGTCAATCAAAAAAAATGTTCGCATTTTTTTCGATAACGAAAAGTACATTCTAAAAGAAGTAAAAACAAAAACGAATGCATTCTTAGTAGCAAATGATCATGGTAACGGTCATGCTGTGTTTCACACAAGTGAATAACTTACTTGTTTTCGAAGTGTTACAATTGCTGATTATTACTCAGTAGTGATAACAATAACGTAC